AGACAGAACCCGGTGCCGGTCTCACTCTAACCATCGGGCCTAGACAGAACCCGGTGCCGATCCCACTCTAACCATCGGACCTAGACAGAACCCTGTACCGGTCCCACTCTAACCATCGGACCTAGACAGAACCCGGTGCAGGTCCCACTCTAACCATCGGACCTATACAGAACCCGGTGCCGGTCCCACTCTAACCATCGGACCTAGACAGAACCCGGTGCCGGTCTCACTCTAACCATCGAATCTAGACAGAACCCTGTGGCGGTCCAACTCTAACAATCGGACCTAGACAGAACCCTGTGGCGGTCCAACCCTAACCATCGGACCTAGACAGAACCCTGTGGCGGTCCAACCCTAACCATCGGACTTAGACAGAACCCGGTGCCAATCCCACTCTAACCATCGGACCTAGACAGAACCCGGTGCCGGTCCCACTCTAACCATCGGACCTAGACAGAACCCTGTGGCGGTCCAACTCTAACCATAGGACCTAGACAGAACCCGGTGCCGGTCCCACTCTAACCATCGGACCTAGACAGAACCCGGTGCCGGTCCCACTCTAACCATCGGACCTAGACAGAACCCGGTGCCGGTCTCACTCTAACCATCGGACCTAGACAGAACCATTTGGCGGTCCAACTCTAACCATCGGACCTAGACAGAACCCTGTGGCGGTCCAACCCTAACCATCTGACCTAGACAGAACCCTGTGGCAGTCCAACCCTAACCATCGGACCTAGACAGAACCCGGTGCCGATCCCACTCTAACCATCGGACCTAGACAGAACCCTGTGGCGGTCCAACCCTAACCATCGGACCTAGACAGAACCCTGTGGCGGTCCAACCCTAACCATCGGACCTAGACAGAACCCGGTGCCGATCCCACTCTAACCATCGGACCTAGACAGAACCCTGTACCGGTCCCACTCTAACCATCGGACCTAGACAGAACCCGGTGCCGGTCCCACTCTAACCATCGGACCTAGACAGAACCCGGTGCCGGTCCCACTCTAACCATCGGACCTAGACAGAACCCGGTGCCGGTCCCACTCTAACCATCGGACCTAGACAGAACCCGGTGCCGGTCTCACTCTAACCATCGGACCTAGACAGAACCCTGTGGCGGTCCAACTCTAACCATCATACCTAGACAGAACCCTGTGGCGGTCCAACTCTAACCATCGGACCTAGACAGAACCCTGTGGCGGTCCAACCCTAACCATCGGACCTAGACAGAACCCTGTGGCGGTCCCACTCTAACCATCGGACCTAGACAGAACCCGGTGCCGATCCCACTCTAACCATCGGATCTAGACAGAACCCTGTGGCGGTCCCACTCTAACCATCGGACTTAGACAGAACCCGGTGCCGGTCCCACTCTAACCATCGGACCTAGACAGAACCCGGTGCAGGTCTCACTCTAACCATCGGACCTAGACAGAACCCTGTGGTGGTCCCACTCTAACCATCGGACCTAGACAGAACCCGGTGCCGGTCCCACTCTAACCATCGGGCCTAGACAGAACCCGGTGCCGGTCCCACTCTAACCATCGGGCCTAGACAGAACCCGGTGCCGGTCCCACTCTAACCATCGGACCTAGACAGAATCCGGTGCCGGTCCCACTCTAACCATCGGACCTAGACAGAACTTGGTGCCGGTCCCACTCTAACCATCGGACCTAGACAGAACCCGGTGCCGGTCCCACTCTAACCATCGGACCTAGACAGAACCCGGTGCCGGTCCCACTCTAACCATCGGACCTAGACAGAACCCGGTGCCGGTCCCACTCTAACCATCGGACCTAGACAGAACCCTGTGGCGGTCCAACCCTAAACATCGGACCTAGACAGAACCCTGTGGCGGTCCAACCCTAACCATCTGACCTAGACAGAACCCGGTGCCGATCCCACTCTAACCATCGGACCTAGACAGAACCCTGTACCGGTCCCACTCTAACCATCGGACCTAGACAGAACCCGGTGCCGGTCCCACTCTAACCATCGGACCTAGACAGAACCCGTTGCCGGTCCCACTCTAACCATCGGACCTAGACAGAACCCTGTGGCGGTCCAACTCTAACCATCGGACCTAGACAGAAGCCTGTGGCGGTCCCACTCTAACCATCGGACCTAGACAGAACCCTGTGCCGGTCTCACTCTAACCATCGGACCTAGACAGAACCCGGTGCCGGTCCCACTCTAACCATCGGACCTAGACAGAACCCTGTGCCGGTCCCACTCTAACCATCGGACCTAGACAGAACACTGTGCCGGTCTCACTCTAACCATCGGACCTAGACAGAACCCGGTGCCGGTCCCACTCTAACCATCGGACCTAGACAGAACCCTGTGCCGGTCCCACTCTAACCATCGGACCTAGACAGAACCCGGTGCCGGTCTCACTCTAACCATCGGGCCTAGACAGAACCCGGTGCCGATCCCACTCTAACCATCGGACCTAGACAGAACCCTGTACCGGTCCCACTCTAACCATCGGACCTATACAGAACCCGGTGCCGGTCCCACTCTAACCATCGGACCTAGACAGATCCCGGTGCCGGTCCCACTCTAACCATCGGGCCTAGACAGAACCCGGTGCCGGTCCCACTCTAACCATCGGACCTAGACAGATCCCGGTGCCGGTCCCACTCTAACCATCGGACCTATACAGAACCCGGTGCCGTTCCCACTCTAACCATCGGACCTAGACAGATCCCGGTGCCGGTCCCACTCTAACCATCGGACCTAGACAGAACCCGGTGCCGGTCTCACTCTAACCATCGGATCTAGACAGAACCCTGTGGCGGTCCAACTCTAACCATCGGACCTAGACAGAACCCTGTGGCGGTCCAACCCTAACCATCGGACCTAGACAGAACCCTGTGGTGGTCCAACCCTAACCATCGGACCTAGACAGAACCCGGTGCCAATCCCACTCTAAACATCGGACCTAGACAGAACCCGGTGCCGGTCCCACTCTAACCATCGGGCCTAGACAGAACCCGGTGCCGGTCCCACTCTAACCATCGGACCTAGACAGATCCCGGTGCCGGTCCCACTCTAACCATCGGACCTAGACAGAACCCGGTGCAGGTCCCACTCTAACCATCGGACCTATACAGAACCCGGTGCCGGTCCCACTCTAACCATCGGACCTAGACAGATCCCGGTGCCGGTCCCACTCTAACCATCGGACCTAGACAGAACCCGGTGCCGGTCTCACTCTAACCATCGGATCTAGACAGAACCCTGTGGCGGTCCAACTCTAACCATCGGACCTAGACAGAACCCTGTGGCGGTCCAACCCTAACCATCGGACCTAGACAGAACCCTGTGGTGGTCCAACCCTAACCATCGGACCTAGACAGAACCCGGTGCCAATCCCACTCTAACCATCGGACCTAGACAGAACCCGGTGCCGGTCCCACTCTAACCATCGGACCTAGACAGAACCCTGTGGCGGTCCAACTCTAACCATCGGACCTAGACAGAACCCGGTGCCGGTCCCACTCTAACCATCGGACCTAGACAGAACCCGGTGCCGGTCCCACTCTAACCATCGGACCTAGACAGAACCCGGTGCCGGTCTCACTCTAACCATCGGACCTAGACAGAACCATTTGGCGGTCCAACTCTAACCATCGGACCTAGACAGAACCCTGTGGCGGTCCAACCCTAACCATCTGACCTAGACAGAACCCTGTGGCGGTCCAACCCTAACCATCGGACCTAGACAGAACCCGGTGCCGATCCCACTCTAACCATCGGACCTAGACAGAACCCTGTGGCGGTCCAACCCTAACCATCGGACCTAGACAGAACCCTGTGGCGGTCCAACCCTAACCATCGGACCTAGACAGAACCCGGTGCCGATCCCACTCTAACCATCGGACCTAGACAGAACCCTGTACCGGTCCCACTCTAACCATCGGACCTAGACAGAACCCGGTGCCGGTCCCACTCTAACCATCGGACCTAGACAGAACCCTGTGGCGGTCCAACTCTAACCATCATACCTAGACAGAACCCTGTGGCGGTCCAACTCTAACCATCGGACCTAGACAGAACCCTGTGGCGGTCCAACCCTAACCATCGGACCTAGACAGAACCCTGTGGCGGTCCCACTCTAACCATCGGATCTAGACAGAACCCGGTGCCGATCCCACTCTAACCATCGGACCTAGACAGAACCCTGTGGCGGTCCCACTCTAACCATCGGACCTAGACAGAACCCGGTGCCGGTCCCACTCTAACCATCGGACCTAGACAGAACCCGGTGCAGGTCTCACTCTAACCATCGGACCTAGACAGAACCCTGTGGCGGTCCCACTCTAACCATCGGACCTAGACAGAACCCGGTGCCGGTCCCACTCTAACCATCGGGCCTAGACAGAACCCGGTGCCGGTCCCACTCTAACCATCGGAACTAGACAGAACCCGGTGCCGGTCCCACTCTAACCATCAGACCTAGACAGAACCCGGTGCCGGTCCCACTCTAACCATCTGACCTAGACAGAACCCGGTGCCGGTCCCACTCTAACCATCGGACCTAGACAGAACCCTGTGCCGGTCTCACTCTAACCATCGGACCTAGACAGAACCCGGTGCCGGTCCCACTCTAACCATCAGACCTAGACAGAACCCTGTGCCGGTCCCACTCTAACCATCGGACCTAGACAGAACCCTGTGGCGGTCCAACTCTAACCATCGGACCTAGACAGAACCCTGTGGCGGTTCCACTCTAACCATCGGACCTAGACAGTACCCTGTGGCGGTCCAACCCTAACCATCGGACCTAGACAGACCCCGGTGCCGATCCCACTCTAACCATCGGACCTAGACAGAACCCTGTACCGGTCCCACTCTAACCATCGGACCTAGACAGAACCCGGTGCCGGTCCCACTCTAACCATCGGACCTAGACAGAACCCGGTGCCGGTCCCACTCTAACCATCGGAACTAGACAGAACCCGGTGCCGGTCCCACTCTAACCATCAGACCTAGACAGAACCCGGTGCCGGTCCCACACTAACCATCGGACCTAGACAGAACCCTGCGCCGGTCCCACTCTAACCATCGGACCTAGACAGAACCCGGTGCCGGTCCCACTCTAACCATCGGACCTAGACAGAACCCGGTGCCGGTCCCACTCTAACCATCGGACCTAGACAGAACCCGGTGCCGGTCCCACTCTAACCATCGGACCTAGACAGAACCCGGTGCCGGTCCCACTCTAACCATCGGACCTAGACAGAACCCGGTGCCGGTCCCACTCTAACCATCGGACCTGTCTCTGACCAGAATACAGCCGGTTTGAAGCAAAGATCCACGACCTGAGGGAGCAGATGATGAACAGCTCTGGGAGTCTGAGGACCTCCCGTACCTTCTACATCAGGTAAGCTGGCCCACCTGTCCTGGGTCCCTCGGCTGGACACCTGTGAGGAGTTCTAACCTGCTGAAGGTGTGACTCTGGTCTCCTGATCTTCAGGGCTCTGTTTGACCACGATAAGCAGTGGGACTGTGGCGTCCTGTCCCAGGCTCTGGACTTTAACTTTGGGGAGGTGCTTCATGTGATCGACAGCTCTGATGATGAATGGTGGCAGGCCAGACGTCTGAACCAGCAGGGGGAGCTGGAGGAGCTGGGATACGTCCCGTCCAAACACAGGTCAGGACCTCCTACAGGCCTACTGGACTCTGGTGCACCTGTGAGGCTCTGGACCAATGAGAACCTTCACTTTGTGTTTCAGAGTGGAGAGGAAGGAGTGGTCACGGATGAAGAGTAAAGGTGAGACCCCAGAACCCTGAACACCTGATATCAGGTAAAGTCCCAGTTCTGAACCCAGACCGGAGGTTCTGTAGGTTCTGGAAAATCACAGAACAGCTGGTCTGGTCCGGGCCGGTGGGCGGAACATTCAACTTCAAAATATTCAACGTTTTTATCAGGTATCTTCTTGTTCTACCATATAGGTGTCCCTCTCTTCCAGGATAGTAAAGCGTCACACATCTGGGGGTAATGAATCAATAGAGGGTACACTGGATGAAATAAATTGCTTAAGAGCTATTTATTTTTATTGTCAGTACCTGTGACCCATAGCTGTGATAATCTATTAATGATAGAACATCACCTGCTTGAGCTTTAGGATGATTAGGCAGAAGATTCGAAGACTCTTTGTTTATTCAGGGACGGTAAACACCTCGACTGGGATTCAAGAACCAGCCAGGTTTGCAAACAAATAATAATTTATTTACAAACAAGTTCAGACTTGACAAATGGTTTAAACTATTATTTACTGTGAGTGGATGCGAACTAAGAGATGGGTGTCTGGAACTGCAGGAGAACATCACTCCGGTTTTAGCATCACTGCATTGGCTCCCCGTGTGTTCCAGGATCGATTTTAACCCTTTGGTGCATAACGGTCACTACAGTGGACAGGCACTCAAAATTGTTATTTATTTATTTTTGCTATTAAGCACAGCTGTTGAAGACTTTATTGCATGTGAGCCCCTCCCTTTGGACTTCAGTAAGTCAGGCTAACAGTGTTCACAATGCACATTGTCCACTGAGATGGACATGTAATAAATTATTTGTAAATTAATAAAATTTTACAAAAAATATTTGTTGAAATTTGTTTCATTCACACCTAAAGTTGAATGAAAAAAAAATTGTTTAAAAATCATGGTTGAAGATTACATAATTCATGCATCAGAGGGTTAAAATACTTTTAATGGTTTTTAAGTGTCTTAACAGTCTTGGGCCTTGTATTGCATGTATTGTATGCTTAAGTGCTATATAAATAAAGTTGATTGATTGAACTATGTGTGAATATAGTATTTCAGAGTCGGTAGCATGAGAAAGCTGAATCCTGGATGAGGAAATTTGGTTTGCAAGTAAGGAACCTTGGTGTTATCTTTGACCAGGACATGTCATTCAAATCCCAGGTTAAACAGGTTTGTAGGATTTCCTTTTTCCACCTTCGGAATATTGCTAAGATTAGAAGCATACTTTCCAGGAGTGATGCTGACAAACTAGTTCATGCATTTATTACATCAAGACTGGATTACTGTAATCCATTACTCTCAGGAAGTCCACAGAATGTAGTTAAAAGTCTTCAGCTTGTCCAAAATGCTGCAGCTAGAGTTCTGATGAGAATTAAAAAGAGAGATCATATCTCTCCTGTCTTAGCTTCCCTACATTGGCTACCTGTTAAATTCAGAATAGATTTTAACCCTCTGATGCATGAATTATGAAATCTTCAACCATGATTTTTTAAACAATTTTTTCATTCATCTTTAGGTGTGAATGAAACAAATTTCAACAAATATTTTTTGTGACATTTTGTTAATTTACAAATAATTTATTACATGTCCACCTCAGTGGACAGCGTGCATTCTGAACATGAAATATGTTGGATTGCCTTACTGAAGTCCAAAGGGAGGGGCTCACATGCAATAAAGTATTCAACAGCTGTGCTTAATAGCAAAAATAAATAAATAACAATT